TCAGGCATTTGAACATCGATTGATAGGTCGGAGCTTGGCCGCCTCGCTTACCAGACCTTAATTCGATGGACTCCTTTTTGGGGGGCACTTAAAGTCTTTAGTATATGAAACACCTATAACAGATATCAATGGATCTTCGACAAAAAATAATAAACGGTTGCGAAATCATTAGAAATAGGTTAGGCGTATTTTTTCGTCTTTGATGCCATTTTTAAAAATTATCGATTATTAATAGTTTCCTATTTTCGAAAATGTTAAATGTATTTATGTTACTTAAATTAAACATGTTATTGAATGTCATTATTTCATTTTTAAATTTGTAGCATACCGTTTTGAAAAATTTAGTTCACGTCGCCTGCATTTCCACTTGCTTTTCCGTAACAGAAATGCATAACGCGATATCCAGTATTATCTTTCTGTAAATTATAAGTGCAGGGTATTGCGGGAATAAAAAAGTCGATTTGCGGGTATGGTCTGTTCATAGATATAAGAAAGTGACCAATTGATTTTGAACGGATTATCCAAGGGTGGTCATTAACATACAATGCAACAAGATTATTACCTTAATTAATAATTAATTAATTAATTGTTACCAAAATTAATAATCATAATCTTGTTGCATTGTATTTTAATGACCACTCTTGCATAATCCGTTCAAAAGCAATTGGTCACTTTCTTATATCTATGAACAGACCATAAACGATAACACTTATCGACTTAAAACAAGAGTAACAATTTTTGAGGATTTGTGGGTCTGCTTAAAGCAATTTGTTCTATTTTGCCATATCATTGTAAATAAATAAAATACAGGGAAAATAGAAAAAATGTTCAAGGTAAAGTGCCCTCTAGTGACAGATTTCTGAAACACTTTTATTTTGTGACGAGGACTTTTAGTAAATCAGGACAGTGTGTAACATACCAGCTTATTCTGTTGAAAATTAAGCTCACAGCATTAAAAATAAAATGAAAAAAAAAAAGAATTTTGAAAAGTTATAACTCGGAAAATATTACGATTTCGCTCTGTTACGTGAACATTTCCGAACACCCTGTATATATTCTCTACGGTTTCTACCCGAAATACAGCACATTGCATTATTCGCCTGTATACTTTAGTCAATGATTATTATTTGATGCATTTGACGTACGTCCCGGATTTAAAGTAAAACGGGAACCGCCGTCAACCGCTACCAAAAAAACAAATTTCTCCATTCACTTCATTTCGGAGAACCGCGCTAATTACAAGATAATTTTAATATTTGGCGTTTCAAAAGCGGACTAATAATAGGGAGGTCAACGAGCCCGACGTTTAAGTTCAGGGATAGCACGGACTTAAAAAAAAATGCGGTTCGCTCGACGAGATAAACTTTACGAGTGTTATTCTATTTTTCTTGCGCCCTTCTAGAGCACTTACGAAATAAGAAAGTACCCCCCAAACGAAAGCAAATCGGCATCGGTGGCATAGTAAAAACGGATGGTAGAACTCAGTCAGTTTTGCCACACAGGCCAATTTGGACGTTGGCATTGCCCAATCTAAAGGCAAGGTATTAGTTTACTCGGTTGAGAAAGGAAAACAATTTGAAGAAGTTATTAATAAGGACTTGAATCTGTATTTTTAATGGCCGTGCCATAATAAACTTTACCTACAAAAAAAGGTTTATATGATGATCAAGGAGGAAAAAAATTGTATCAATGGCACAAATGGTATATAATATGATATGATAATGTCTATAGTATGGAGTACTCATCCACAGTTTGGAATCCTGTTTATAGTAAATATCAGATCAGTAAATATCAGAGCAAAAAGTATTTAAAAAAAAAACTATTTAACAACTTGAAATTTAGATACATTTTGATCGTAAGAAAAAAACTTAAAATTTTACAATTTGAAGTCGCTTGAAACTTGAACAAACTGTTTTGATGTGGCTTTTCTTTACAAAGTTGTAAATAACCTTGCGGATTCTTCTTTTAGGATAAATTAGTTGCGCTTTAACGCTATTCCATATCAGATGTTTTCCATGGAGCGATTTAGGTCGAATTACTTTTCTAACGCTCCTATAATAAGATGTGTTCTGACTTATGTTTTCCAAAACGGCATAGATATAGATATGTTTAATCTAGTTTATTTAAAAGAAGCGTAGATAAACTTCTTTAGCTCGTATTATTTTAATCTAACTTTTGCTTTCATTGCATAGATAAGAAATTTATTGCTCACTTTCCCGATTTTGTTAAATAGTTTAAGCTTATATTATCTATTCTGTAATTGGGTAGCTGCGTCTGCCTGTTGAATGGCCTGTGAATTAAAAATAAATAAAAAACAAGCAAGAGAGCTGCCGTATAATTGCTTTATAGAGCCGCATTTTGGTTAGTTAGTGGCATTGCCCAAATAAGAATACTGCAGATACTAGAAAACAATTGAACTTTAATATACTCAGTGAAGAAATATATATTAAGCTGCCATACTTAAACATTAGTGAACTTAAAGCAAGACAAAAAGATTAAAGCAAATGTGAACTACACAAAAATAGGCAATATTACAGCTATAGTGGAAGAAATAACGCACTACTTTGGAAAACATATTCAAGAACCAAAGAAAATGCGTCTTAAAGACTATATAAAAATATATATAAACTTTACATTATTTATACAATATAGAATGTTATTTTTATTTCTATTACTGTATGTTTTTTTAAAGCCTCGATGTCATTTAATCGTAACAACTGTTTAGAGGTCGGTAATAGAGCGTTAATAAAAGAAAAAAATTAAATAAAAGAAAAACAGCGATGTGAACATTCGGTAGAGGAATTTAATTGTTACTTTACTCTTGCAACCCCGTATCATCTGCTCACCGAGTGCCCTGCCTTGACATGAGCAAGATTGGGAGTCTTCGGAACGGCCCTGATCGATCCGGACTCAGGGCACGGTATTGGGCTAAAGGAGTTGCTGACCTTCTATAGGAGGGGCGGCATTCTGGACGCCCTCTAGAGCGGCCTGGGGGCACAACGGGCCCATCTGGTGGCCTAATTGCTTGGACGCCCGCGAGGGCGCCCCCCTTTAATACCAATACTCTTGCAAATTTGACAGCCATTAGCTCAAAAATCGAGAGGTGTACGACCTCCGTCGATACAAACTCTTCTTCTTAAAATCGCCAGAAGATACAGGCCCCCAAGTACCCTTAATGTTAGTAAAGAGTAATTATAGAAAACTCTCGTTTTTGTAAATTTCGATCGTAAATTTTCGAAACCGCATCGCTATTACCGTTATTTTTTTTGGCCCACAACCGCAAATTAAAGTCACAATTAACGCACGACCACCGTCTATTTTGGTCGCGACGAGCAAAGGTGAGTAATTTGAAAATCTGCCATCGACTTTTAATTTTTGGTACGAAACCGGGATGTATTTGCGAATAGCGCATGACGTAATCGCTTTTGGCAGAATTTGGGAAGTCGGACTTTTTGCGTTTCGTCGTGGGTCAAATTTCTGTTTCGATAAGAGCGGGTAATTTTTTTTTTAAATGTTTAAACTATTATTACTTGAGATAAACCGACTAAAAAATGTTACGCCTGATGTCACAAACTGACGTCAGATAACACACAAGCTATAAATGACAATTAAACCTAAAACCGACATTTTGTTCGATTCCGCTCCATTCTCTGGCAATAAATATAATGTAAAAGTTAAATATACCCAAAAGACACAAATTACTTTTTTTTTGAAAACTGTTGATACATCTCCTAACTGCTAACCTATAATTAAGCTAAGATTCTATGCGACGTGTATGGGATATAATCTTGTTAATATGATAACCTTTGATTACACTAAAACATCCGGTTTTTTAATACAATCTTGGCCATCCCCTATATCGAAAACAAAGCAAAATACAAAATACATATTTATAAGCAACAACGTAACGTTTTTACCTAAATAATTTATCCCAAACGTTTAACCTTAAGCGGTCACGTTTGTAATAATTTTTTTTTTCATACACTACATCTTTTCGCTATAATCAGAAACTTAGGTTAGGAACACCTCATCTGCAATTGTAATAACCACAAAAACCGAAAACACCCCAATTTATTCTCTTATTTTCTTCCTTTTCCAACGGTTCTTATGCTTACAGTAAAAAATTCACTCCAACATAGCAGGGCACCTTGCCAATGATTTAGGACAATGGGCTTAGCTGCAAGAGCAGGAGCGTGTCCAAAAAGGGAATAGGTATATAAAAACAGCTGTTTTGAGGAATTCCATTAAGTGACAAAAAAATTAATGGAAATTATTTATTAAATTTCGAATTAATAGAGACAGTTACATACATCATTGTTTTTCTTACTGGGTTACATTGTGTATTTTAACATTACATACGAAATACCTCAACATTGACAGTAGGATGTCTCCGCCAGTCCCTCATTTATCGTCAGTGTGTACTGAACCACATATTAATTCAAACAGACAGCTACGTTTCTGAAAATAAAAATAATACAGTAGTACATCCAAACAATGGTATTCAAGGTATATAAACAGACTGTCTAAGATCAGTGAAAATTTCTATGTGAACTCAAATTCCTCAACTCAGGTGAAACGAGGAAGAATCGTATTCGCCTTTTTGAATCATCATATCAGCTTTGGTTGAAATTAATAATTAACTAATTATGATGTATTCATTATCGCGTTTAATAGGGAATTATAAAAAACTCTGAATAAATAAAATAAGTCGGAAAGTGAAATAAAATAAAAATTTAAATTAAAAAAAATAACAAAAAGAAATAAATTTCACGTAATTTTGAAATACCTGCAACTTCCACCACGTTTACGGCAATAGAAGATGCAGGTATTTGTTCTGTGACCGGGGCATACTTCTTCTTTTAAGTATCAAACAAAGTTCGAATGCTCGCATCATTTGCCCATTACCGACGTCCGTCGAGAATTTATTGGGGCATACCCACTTTCAGCCGCACAGACAAACGTTGCGCATGCCGACTTCTTTTTATTTCTCACATATTTTTGTTCAGAGGTGTGAAAAGAAGAATAACCTTCTATTATAAAGAGTGAATTTTGAAAATATTTAAATATTAAAAAGTTCTCTTGATTTATCCTATTAACTTCGAATACGATGAGATGTTAGTTACCTATCTTTAATATCTTATGTACATTATATCTTGAAATTTATTTTTTTAGATGAGCAGGATGAGAGTTACGTCGGGCGGACGTTTGATTCTCTCGAGGGCCTCTCCGACAAAACGCTAAAGGCGATCGCGGAGATGGGTTTCGCAACCATGACCGAAATACAGGCGAAATCTCTGCCTCATTTGCTGAAAGGTTCTCATCTAGTGGGAACGGCGAAAACCGGTGCCGGAAAAACGTTGGCCTTTTTAATCGCCGCAGTCGAGTGGGTGCACAGGATGAAAGTTAAACCGCGCAACGGCACTTGCTCCATTATTTTGTCTCCGACCAGAGAACTGTGCCTTCAGACGTTTACCGTCTTGAAGCGACTGATGAAGTACCACAGTCAGACATGTTTCAGGATTGTGGGTGGCGGAAACCGGAAAGAGGAAAGCGAGAGGTTGTGGAACGGGGCAAATATTCTGGTAGCGACTCCTGGACGGTTGCTCGACCATATGCAAAACACTGAGGGTTTTATTTATAAGTCGGTGTTTAATGTAATTATAGATGAAGCCGATCGGATGATGGATCTTGGTTTCGAAGCGGATATCCGGAGAATTTTAGCGTTGCTAAAGAGTAAGTAGAAAATATGAAAATAACATGAAATTTAGCAACTTTTTTTAGATGAAAACAGGCAACATATCGTGTTTACCGCAACGGTCAACAAAAACATTGACTCTCTGAAATCCGTGGTGTTCCAGAACATGAAGCCTGTGTATGTGGGGATGCCGGAACCAGAGGAGACGCCTACTGTCTCCACTTTGACCCAATGCTACTTGGTTTACCGGTCGGAGGAGAGGTTTCCAGCTCTCTATGCTCTCCTTAGGGCTTACGTCACCAAAAAGGTTATAGTGTTTTTCAGCACTTGCACGTCGGTACGGTTCCACCATGATCTGCTGAACTTTATCAACGTGGACTGCATGTATTATCATGTGAGTGCTGTTCTGCATTCTAGATTTAAAAAAAAAGGGTTTTTAATTCTGCTTATGATTTAAGTTGCAATGAGTGAACTAGAAAAAGATTTACTAACAAAGCTAAAAATGATAGAAATAGTAGTTTACTGTAACAATTTCTTTCTTTTTTTCTAAAATTGAGCAACAAAAACAGAATACAATACAAACACAGAAATATCAGTATATTAAATAAAAGTGTTTAAAAAGTTCTAAAAAAAAAAACACAATCCAAAATTGCTATATGTAACGAATATTTAAAAAAGAGTTATTATGTCATTGTTAAGCAATTTATTTGTACTATCCGAAGGAAAGTTTATAGAGGTATTAAAGAGGTAGATAGAGGAATATCGAGGTGTAGGAGGTACAAGTGAGGTACATGAAGGTATAATGTGGTAAATGTGAAAGAATATGGCAGGCAAAAGGAGTGATAATTAAATTTGTTACTTTCATTAAATGGATCAGTAATTACAGCGCTCTTTTGTTCCATTTATGCTAATAGGCAAGTAGCTATTGTTAAGTTTGGGCGAGACAAGTCGCTACATTTGAACTACTTTGTATGTCTGACACAACTATTACTAGTTACTTTACAGGTATTCTTTAATTTTCTAGGGCCAACTGAAACAGAATATACGGGAGAGAACGTTCAGGAAGTTTACGAAGATCAAGTCTGGAATTTTGCTGTGCACCGACATCGCTGCGAGAGGTCTGGACATCCCAGGCGTGGACTTGATCATCCAGTACGATCCTCCCGAGGATACGAACGAGTATTTGCACAGAGTCGGTAGAACAGCGCGAGGAGAAGGTAATTATAACATGGCAGTACATAATTTACAAAAAAAATAGCATAAGTATTGTGTATCTTTGGTTTTAGTTTTCCCGAAAGCGAGGTTTGCTTTGGTGTCAAAAAAATCATAATTTTCCTTTATTTGGCACTTCGCTAATGGATATGTATTTCATTCCTCTTTGTCTCCCAACAGATTCCAATGAGATAACAATTTTGGTTATTTTAGTAACAACAAACCATAACAAATACTCTTCTTTAAACTTCTATGAATATTAAACAAAACTTTTCTATTCGTCTTCATTAACTTGTTGGATGTACACCGAATTCTTTTAACTTAAAGAAAATACATTTTAACCAACTTTGATATCTTGTTTAATCTCAATCGTGTAATAACCTGGTTAATGAAGACAATCCCTCAATTTTTCACTGTAAAAGATTTCTTGAGCTGTGTGATAAAGTATAACGTTTTTCACATTTCATGATAGCTTTATATTGATTAAAAAATTGTGACCCGTGATTAAAATACTTTGTATTCGGAAACACCAATTTTGTTTGTGTTCCGGCAGGTGTCAGCGGGAAAGCCATTTTGTTTTTGAGGCCCGAAGAAGAACGATTTTTGGCGTTGATGCAGCACGCGAAGATCCCCTTGCACAACGGCCGACTCAAGAGCCAGTGCTTTGAGCACTACAACATTCAACCTGTGGTAAGCATTGACCTATTTATTTAAGGTAAAATCCGAAAATAATTCATTCATCATAATTCATAAATCTTTTATTATTAAACAGAAAACTTCGCACATCATTTCGTCCTATTACGTATAAACAATTAAAAATTTGGGAATTCTTCCATTTTTCTTTGAGGACAACTCATACGAACTCATCAAAATATTTAATGATTTTGGATTTACCGTTTTTTTTTCCGATTTTAAATAAATCCATAGATGAAAAATGGCGGCCAAGACATTAGCGATATACACATTATTAAAAGTGTCCATACTTTTTCGACTAAAGTTTTTTTTATGTCATTATTATTGGGGCGTGGTGGTATTTTTTTTTAAGATGGAGGAAGTGGTGAACACCAACTTCCACCTGCGCCCTCTAGCGTTGGACGCGTTCAGGGCGTACGTCAGGTCGTACGCGTCCCATCGCATCAAGTTCGCGTTCGACGCGGACAAACTGGACTTGGACGCGGTGGCCTCGTCGTTCGGGTTGAAACGGGCGCCGCCACTGGACGCTCCCCTAAAAAAAATCCAACACAAGAAGAAACGACGGGGTTACGTGGATAATACATTCTAGTTTGTCCACGAATAGCGTCGTTCATTTTTTTCCAAGTGATCATTTTGGCCTTCCTTTTTGCCCTTCCTCTTTGTTCCTCCCGTTCCTTTTTGTTTTTTGATTTTATTTTCAGATGGCTTGCGTCCTCCGGTCTCTAAGCAATCTTCGGGGAGTGGCTTTCCATTGCTCCAACTGTGTCTGGAAGAGTTACAAATACAAAAGCCCGTTTTTTTACTTTTATTTATTGCATATTTATTGACAAAGTGAATTTATGTTAAATGAAGGTCTTGCACAAATAAATTAACTATACCCATTACAAATAATCATTAGGACAACAAATACCCGTTCTAACTGCATTAACTGCTTAATTAATGTGTTGATTAATAACTGTTTAATTTTTATCTTAAACAGTTCTTTAGAATCTTGTTTAATAAACAATTAATAATAATTAATTTGTTGATTAACAACTGTTTAATTTTGATCTAAATAAATGTATCATTTTCATCTTGAAGTGAATTAACAACTGTATAATTTTTATCTTAAACAGTTCTATAGAATCTTGTTTAATAAATAAAAGAACTTAAAGATAATCTTGCAACATATGCTTGTGCGTGTGGGTGGTTGTGCGCGTGGGCTTGTTCGTGCACGGGTGTGTGTGTGGGTGCGCAGGTGTGTGTACTCGCGCCGGTGTGCGTGTGGTGCGCGATTGTGTATGTGGGCGTTTCTGTTTGTGTGCGCACGGGTGTGTACGTGTGTGTGTGTGTGTGTGCTCTTTTGTGTGTGTGTGTGCACGGGTGTGTTTGTGTGAGTGCGTGCGCGCGCGGGTGTGTGTGTGCGCGGGCGTGTGAGTGTGTGTGTGTGTGAGAGACCCGATTTGTTTAAAATTTAGTATTCTATATTTCAGTTGGTCTGTTTCACAGTTTTTAATTATTTGAATCTAACGGTGAAATTAAGCATTTTCAATTTAATATTTTCTCAGTGATTTACCGAATGACATTGTTGATGTTTGATAGGAATAAGAACTAGTGTCATATAGGTGAAATATTGGCAATTCGTTATTAATTTTATAATTTTATTAATAAATTTTTCGATAGGTGGTCTGTTGAATTCATATATTTGCTCGTTTTTGGACGTTCAACCTATCTTTTGATAACACAAAATGGTTACGAGACGTATAACTGGTCCTTTATGAATCCTCATAAAAAACTGTTGAGGAATCAAGTTGCACAATCTCGGTATTCACAAAATAGAATCTACACTCCGTAGCCATATTCCTGCATGACATTGCAGCCATATATTTATTTATTTCTTCATGTAGCAAAAGCAAGCTGTCCGATAAGTAACGATTAGAGAAATCTGAATTCTTTCTAAAGCTATTAAAGATATGACAAAAAAAGTTTTTAAATACTGAATGTTACGCAATAATAATAAAGCGGGTGTCATTTAAAAAATGTGAGATTTTTTATTTTCAAAAGCCGGTATTTTCGAATGTTATAATTAACATCGAATGGCAAATAAAGTTCTGGACCAAGCCCAAATATGACAGTCGTTTTTATTCCTGCCGAATATCAACAGTGCATTTCATAAATCACGGAGAAACTATTAATTGTTCGACATTTAATGTGTCCTAATGTCCTATAATTTCGAATAATAAAAAAACTTTCAAATTTAGACCCTACATTTTATAATAACGACTAGAATCCATAAATAGCATGAAGTGCATTTTTAAAAATTCGTACTTCTCCACGCCGTACTTTTGTGATGCGCCATCAGCACTACCAGACACCCAGCATGTTGTTTGCAATAAATGCAAAAATACAAAACAAATATTCGATTTTTTGAATATAACAAACATCTTTATTTTTCGAAATATACCCTTCTAGATCTAATAATTTTATACTTCAGAAGAACATGTTTGAAGAGAGTAGTGCAATTTCGTTATATGCGATTGAAATTATTCCCGATGCTAATGAAAAGAGTAACGAAAACCCTTCAAATTCAAACAAAATAAACATTTTACCAGGAGTTATCCCATTCTAATATGCTCTCTTTTTCTCTCTTTTTGGAGGTGGAATGGTACCGAATAGCATTAAAAAAAAACATTTTGGCACCTGTGCCGGAGTATGTACGTGGGCCCTGATTGGTAGGAGTGACTAAAGAATTACTGCAGTTCCGCAACGGTGCCAAATGCATCGCATAATGTTTGAGCGGGAAATTTAAACCTGTAGGCTCGCTGAATTAAATTTAACTGTTAATAATTACTATACGTATTGTAAAAAATCGTAAACATGTAGGGCGACACAATAATAACATTAAATTAAACGTAAGAGAAAACTGCATACATTAAAAAAAGATAGGCACGTGAATAGTCGACACAGGCTGACATGAAAAAAAAAAAAAGAATAAGAACGTTTGAAAATAATTATTATATCGGATATCCTGTACTTATATTTTCTCAAATTTTATTTGAATAAAAATTAAAAACTAGTTTTAGAATTAAAATTATTACTAAAAGCATATAAATAAAAACATGTTTCCCCACAAGGAGCAAAATGCTTCTTTTCAATAGATAACAATTACATAAATTAGCCTAAACGGGTCAACAAATGAACTTATACACCTCCATTTTTTATTACTGACAGTTTGTTCAGTAATTATCTCAAATAAACGAAAGTTAATCTAGATAATTTGTTGATAGTAATTTTTTGTTTTCCTGGAGGTATCGGTACGGTATTTTGCTATATTTTTGCTTTTTTTATTTATTGGTTCACCTAGAATAAAAAATATTTAAAAATCTGTACTGTATCAATTCCCTAAGCATTACTAAATAATACATTTTTAATTTATTTTTAGATCTGCTGTTTTAGTATAAATAATAATTATAATATAATGCCTACATAATACGTAAAGTTTTAAGAATGTGAGGCAAGATTAACAATGAAATAATATGCGCACATTTTATTTGTTTCTTTGTTTATTTGCTCTTTTATATTTTTTGTAGTTTTATTATTGTCACCCATTTTTGCTCGCACTGTTGGATATTGTGAAGATTTGGTATAACAATTTTTCATACCACTTTCAGAGCTTGAAACATTATGGTTCTGGGTATTTTTACTATTTAGATTAATGTAGTTTGCACATACTACTTCTTATAGAGAAGTCAGCGCAAGTACTCTCATACTCGTTATAGATATTTTGCAGTTTGGCATCTCGCATAATTTGTTATTTTTTTTGTAGTATATAAAGCTTATCTTGCCACTTAAATATTCAAATATTTATATCGGTGATAATTATTTCATATTTAAAAATTTTGACTATTCATGTCACGATTTTGTCTCTAGACTCTTTATTTTAAATTCTTTAATATCAAGTATTGTTTGTAGCAATTTCAAGTTTTGATAAACTTTTTTCGTTTATCACTCCTAACATTTTACTCAGCTTATTTCCCCAAGCTCATTGTGTACTCATTATAAAAACCTGAGGATTATAATATATATTGTGGTAATATATGAGATGATAACATTTGGAAGAATAAGTATTTGTTTAATCCAGTGAAAAAATATTTTCAATATAAGTCTTTTTTTTGAATTGAATGATGCAACAGGAAACGATACGTATTTAGTCCGTGTGTGCTATCAATTGCAATAATGTTTTTATGATTATTTGTAAATACCAACCCAGATATTGTTCATTCACTTCTCGCTTAGAAATTATTATTAATAATAAAAATACAACAACTTTAAATTTACTTTTATAAATTTTCTGAAAAAAATTTAAAAAATTGTTCAATATAAAAAATAAAATTTTTCTTTCTTAATATTCTATTCATCCCTGTATAATTGAACTTTGGTAAAGGATTTCAGAGGCAATCAATCAATTAAGAGACAATCCGGAAATGTTACCAAATGCAAAAAGCATACAATTAGAGTGTATGAAAAATGTGTTCCGGAAAATGGTGGTCTCATACAGCAGTGTTTAGAATAGATAAAGGATTTTTTTACTTTAGCATGTCTTGTCTCTTTTTTAGTGTTTTTGTTTTACTTTAATTTGTATATGATTATTGTTGTTGCAGTCAGTCACGACACTCTTTGAAATTATATAAACATTTCCTATTTTTGCCGATTTGTCAAAAACGAGTGGACTAAAATATAAATTATGTTACGTCATGGTTATTGGAATAAGATATTCTATTAAACACATATATAATATACAATGTGTTCCCCGTATGATGTAGGCTTATATGTCAGAAAATCGATAGTGTTTTGTTTTATACGTCACATGAAAAAAAACTACTAACCCTACAGTTTGTTTTTTGTTTATCTTGATATCTCTAAAAACAAAAAAGAAATAAAACAAAAAAGCCCAGTACTGACAAACACATTAACATAACGCTACCTATCAGGTAGACACGAATTATTAGCTGTTAAATCGTTACAGAGTTTGATCCTTTTTATACAGCGCGAATATTCAGAAACTACAAACTAAAAGCCGGCTCATAAAACCAGTGTCATAATAGCATTCTAACTGATCAGACGCTCAATCATCAATTGAACTTTTTACTTTTGAAAATGATGAATATCCATTTATCAAAATAAATAAGAACTGAAAGTTCAGATTTTCACGAAATTATATATTTTGACACAATTGTTTGGACAACACCGTGTCTTTATCAAAAGTAATATTTACAAACTACCTGCTACTATATATACCAGGGCTTCTTAAACTTTTTTATATAGCGACCCCCCTCAAGCTTAGGAAATTTTAAACGACCCTCTCCACCATATAATGAAATATATATTAACCATAGATGTAGATGTAATATCGCACTATTTTACAATGTAAATAAAATAAGGATTAAAGAATACGTACCCATTCATTTCACATATATATAATTGGAAACGTTGACGTTGACGGTCGTAATAAAACACAATAAATAGAATGACATAAAAGTATATATATATATATATATATATATATATATATATATATATATATATATATATATATATATATATATATATATATATATATATATATATATATATATATATATATATATATATATATATATATATATATATATATATATATATATATATATATATATATATATATATATATATATATATATATATATATATATATATATATATATATATATATATATATATATATATATATATATATATATATATATATATATATATATATATATATATATATATATATATATATATATATTCTCACGTATTGATTCACGGATGGAAAAATGTGATGACACTATATTCCGGGATATCATCCGTTCGCTCGTTGAACTCCGACTGG